TATATATATATATATATATATCAGTGAAAAAAATACACAGGGGCTCGGGGCGATTTAGCCCCCAAAATGCCAAAAAGAGCCCCGGAAATGCCAAAAAGAGCCCCCGTAAATTTGCATAGAGTTCAAGGCAAACCAAATTTTAGAGTGCTATTTTCATGCACGCGAGCTTGAAAAGTAGCCCCCGAAAAATAAATTATATGTTTTTCCCTGATACATATATATATATATATATATAGCATACATGGCATTAATTTTACACTGTAATGGTTTCCTAGAGTACAAACCAAGATGACGTGGCAACAACTATATAATCTAATAACCCACCAGCCAGTCTTACGCAGTGACTATACAGTCTTACAAGTTACGTAACCATCACACAGTCTTACAAGTTACATATAAGTATCATACAATCAGAAGTAGATAATAGGGAATTCCCTATTCCCTATTCCTAATTCCCTATTATCTACTTCTGAGACAATCTTACACCTTACGTAGCCATTATACAATCTTACAAGCTACAGAGCTACCATACAGTCGCACAAGTTACATAGCCATCATGCAGCCTTACAAGTTACATCTAGTTGCACATGTTAACTAGCTTCCACTTGTTACATGAAGATTTCCCGCATCACCACAGACACGGACACACTCACAGCCAGAGATATGTACAGAATAGCAGTAGTAAAGTTCTAGCGCGCTCTTTCTATGCTCACTTCTCTGCACTACACATATGGCATTGTACTATATAGCGTCTATTACAACCTGCTATCTCACATACTGTATTCTCCTAGACAGTTATGAACATTTAGGTGCCTATATACGTATCAATCCTCACAAAGGCCTATAAAACAGATGTAGACGCTCAGAGTGGCAATTACAGTACATTTATAGATAGACTTTGAGCCCTACAGGGCACGAAAACGACCGATGAAACTAGATGGCTGCAAACGGTATTTGCACTATGGGTTAGGCACAGGAAAACGAGGACGTCGCCCATCTATATTAGACCCAGCTCTCAGAGAGAGGGGGGTGGAGAAGAGAGTACTAGAGCTGAGAGGGTCTAGACCCACAGGGTACTGCCGGAACGTACCCTGGGTACGGTCCGGTATACCGGAACGTACCCTGGTACTATCTAATATGCCGGACCGTACTTCGCCTACTCCGCTAACGAGTCTAGGGAGTCGCCTACGCCTACTCCCTAACCCTAACCATATCAAATAGTGACCAGGGTACGTTCCTGTATACCGGACCGTACCCAGGGTACGTTCCGGCAGTACCCTGGGGGACATAGACCCTCTCAGCACTAATAAGTGTAGCCCACCTAAAAGAGTAACGCGGGGGGTGGGAGTCGGTTCGCCGTACTAGTGTCCTAGGTAAAACTAGGTGTCCTAGGATGAGAGATTGGGGGGATGGGCGATCATGGGATTGGGGGGATGGGCGATCGTGCAGCGATGGTGACAGCTGTAGCTGCAGCAGAGGCTTTGATACGAATCGTTATTCGCCACGCGCAGAGAGAGAAAGAAAGAGAGAGATAGAGAGAAAGAGAGAGAGAGCGACACAGAGAGAGAGAGAGACAGAGAGGGAGAGAGAGAGAGAGACAGAGACAGACAGAGAGAGAGAGAGAGAGAGAGAGAGA